TGGAGGGTGGGTTTCAGATGTACACTAAGTGTGCTACTATAGACAGACCTTTTCATTTTATATCAGTGTCCCTTCCTCTCCCCCAAAGTTACTAATCAGCCTCCAGCAGTATCTGCTTCTCAAAACTTGGGACAAATTAATTATGTCCCCACTTGCTGTGTCCTAAAATCACACTCTTAACATTTTCTACAGATTTTAATGCTTTATGCATATACCTGTCAGATGAGGTTCTTTAGAATAAATGCAGTACTTGACTTTAGTTTCCATTGGAATGTTGGACTAGTTAACATGATTTACCCTATCTCCATCATGAAAATAACTAAAAATGCTAGATATATTATTCTAAAACATCTTTGCAATAAATTGATGATCTAGCAAGAAAGAAAAAAAATTCAGATGCTAAAAAAAAAGTAAATAAAAGGAAACAGAAGCTAAATAGATAAATAGAATGAAAAAGCCAGGTTTTACCTTGAGTATATTTGTCAAATCTGCTAAACCCAACATTCAATCTTCAACTGTCCAAGAGAGAGCAAGTTTCCTACATTATGGCCCTTTATACTTAAAAATTTAGGGCTATTCTCTTATATAACTACAGTACAGTTATCATCTTCAGTAAATTTGACATTAATATGATACTCTTGTTTAGTCTAACGTTAACATTCAAATTCTTTACAGCTGACTCAATAATGTCTTTTATAATAATTTTCCTCCAGAGTATACGACCCCATCTAAACTGAGATCTTGCATTGAATTGTCATGTCTCTTTAGTATCTTTTAACCTAGAATATTTCCACAGCCTTTCTTTGTCTTTTATGACATTGACATTTTTTGAAAAATATTTTTCTTCCTCTGTTTTTTGAGAAGAATGATCATTATTTTGAGTTCGTCTGGTATTTCCTCATGATTAGATTCTGTTTATGCATTTTGGCCTAAATATTGTATAGATGATAATGTGTTCTTCTCAGGAAATCACATCTGGAATTACATGATGTCTATCTGTCCTTCGTTGATTAAGTAAATTTTGATCATTTTAGTCAACATGTTGACTTTTTTATTTTATAATATTTCACTGTACAATTATTGTGTTTTTTCTTCCTTGCAATTCATATGCAGTCCATGGGGATATAACTGTAAGATCGTGCAAATCTATTTTTCATCAAAACTACCCCCCTCGATGTAACATCCATTGATGATTCTAGCCTGAGCCAGTCTTTATTTTGATGGATGCAGAGTGACTATTTTCCAACTCTATCCAACCCTCCACAATTGCCAGTCAGCTCTTAGCATTCTACTGGAAATGAGCACTCTCTTCCCTCCCATTTATTTATTCTGTCTAACCATCTATCTATATAACAATCATCTAGCTATTTACTATTGGTATGAAATCACGAATCTCTATTTTTCCAGTGGTTTATAATTTGTTACTGTGCCTAATTATTTTGGTAGTGAAATCATCCCAGATCAGGCTAGTGGAAGCCCATTCAATCTGATTCCTGTATTCTGGTGATAAGCCCCTATAATTTTTCAGAGAATTTTTTTCTTTTCCTTGTGTAACAATATGCTTCAGGCTCTTTTTGTACCTCCATGCCCAAACTCTGTATAAAGCCATTTTTCTGAGGATCTCTGGTTCCTTTTAAAGGGGAATGGTATTAAGAACGAAGATATGGGTATGAGGTATGTTCATTGCTACTGGAGTATCTTTGCTTCTTGGCTCTTTCAGTGTACAGAACTATGATATATATGCACATATATACTCACACACATTCACATACAAATACATAAATACAAACACATGCACACATGTCTAATAAATATAATGGATATAAATATATAAATATATCCAATAAATATATTGGATTTTTTTTGAAATTTTTACTGTGGTCAAATATACATAAGAAATTTGCCATTTTAACTATTTTTAAATGTACAATTTAGTGGCACGAATTACATTCACAATGATGTGCAACAATCACCACTATCTATTTCCAAAACTTTTCATCCCCCAAATGGAAACTCTGTAACAATTAACCAATAATTCTCCATTTTTCCTTGCCTCCCAGCATCTGATAACATCCAGTCTACTTTTTCTCTCTATAAATTTGCCTATTCTAGATATTTTACATAAATGGAATCATACCTTTTGTGTCTGGTTTATTTCACTTAGCATAATATTTTCAAGTTTTATCCATGCTGTAGCATATATCAGAACTGAATTCGTTTTTATGGCTAAATAATATTACATTAAATGTATATACTTCATTTTGTTTATTGATTCATCTGTTGATGAACACTTGTTTTTTTTTCTACCGATTGGCTATTGTGAATAAGGCTGTCATGAACATTAGCATACAAATTTGGTTTGTTCCATTGTTATGTTCACTAGCTCTTGTGTTACTTGTCATATTATTTCTTTCAGTTTCTGATAGTTATTCCTTTGGGAGTGAGAGAGGTTCTTATCTTGGTAAAGCTTTGGGTACTTTGCTGTTTACTAAAGAACCAACCATTCCATGAAAACCATCACGACCAGTTTTTATTATCTTATAGCTATTAAGCTGAAATGTTTAACAAATATTTTTTGCTCTGCACTGTATGATGGGTGCTAGAGATTCAACAACAATGAACCAAAAACAGGCCTGGTCACTGCCCTCAGCTCTATGAAAGAGAATCAGTAAAGGCTTCCCTAAAGTAGCAAGGTCTGAGTTGAGATCTAAAGGTTGAGTGTTAGCTGGGTGTGGAGGGGAAGATGAGAGCATTGTAGGCAGAGGAAAGAGCAGGTGCAAAATCCCTCCTCCAGGAAAGAGTGTGGCATATTCTAGAAACGAATAACCACCGTTTCTTAAAGACCAAGACCTATCCATAATGTCATTATAAAAGAGAACGATTTCCACGAGTCAGACATAAAACTCATCATATTATAGTCGCACTCTAAGACATGATTAAAAATTTCTTTCTCTAAATCACTACTATTCTAACTCTCAATGTCTATTTATCAGCAATTTTGACTTTTGGAGAATTAAACACACATAGAATCTCAAGGAATGCAAGAATAAGAATATTTGCATTAATATATTTGATAAAGTGATCTGAGAAAGATTAGATTTGTTCTTATCACACATATGAATATAATATTATGGTAAAACCCCCCCAAAATGCAAAAGTGAATATAGGACAATTGGTGATTGGCTCCTGTACTCTTTCTATCCCAGTCTCTGTTTTTTAAAAGGTGGAGAGGAAGCTAAAGCTTTATTGCCTAGATGGAGGGTGAGGCAAGATAGAGAAATAGTAGATAATTCAGTCTCAGGAAGCCAGGAGATAGCAGGTGGGTCCCCATGCTCCCTTTATTTTTCAGCTCCCTTAACTGGGAGTTTCCTGGAAGCCCTATTACTGTTTTGGTAGTCCCAGCTGGGGATTAAAAAGAAGACAGATCTAGAAGTAACCTTAGCACTAGTTATAGCCCAGATGGGGAGGACACAGGAGATAGCTGAGCTCCCTCAGAGGCATGACCATAATTTGCTCTGGTGGGGAGGACATTATTGCTCCTTGTTGTTCCCACTGGACTTGGGGCCATCTCACCTCCCAAATTTCCCTTCTTTCCCTCTGGCGCTGATGGCCTTGGGGCATTCTTGAGAGTTTTGAGTCAGATGGAGGGTACAGAGGGGAGAAGCTCAAAGGTGGAGTCTTATTCTGGAACTGACTTATGAACTTAGGATCACTTGATTTAACTGCATTTAGCACAAAACTTCTAAACAGGGTGTTTAGAGGTAATGAAGCAATACTAAACATAAAGCTGTATTTTCGTACTACTGAATTTTGAGTACTTACTCTATCTGTGAAATATAATGTCTAATATGCTGGGGAGAGAGGAGAGTGGACTCTAATTTTATTATATTTTTTTTTTCTTTTTTACTTACCAAGAGAAAAACTGACTTTGCAGTTCCTAAATGTAGTTAAATCTGTGAGCAAAATGAGTTGAAATTCTGCCTCACCTTGTTCACAGTAGACTCCAGTGGTTCCTAAAGGACAGTAGCAGGTGTATCCATGAGGTAAGGAAATACAGGTTGCTCCTTTGCTGCAGTGGTGTGGAGGGTCATGTTCAGGATCGCAGGTGGAAACTGTCTCCGTACAGAATGCTCCTTTCCACCCAGTGGCACAATTGCAACTGTAGGTTGAGAGAAAAAGGAGCACAGTGTGAACACGTGAGCAGAGATGGATATACGCTTGTGTCTCACTCTGTTGTTAACTTGTCAGTTTGAGCAGAGATGGATATACGCTTGTGTCTCACTCTGTTGTTAACTTTTAACCGAGGTTCCAAGGTATCCAAGTGAATTGTGATTCAAACTACCAAGACCCAAATTGTCAAAGAAAAGAGTTAATAATTAGCTTTAGGGTTACTGGACTCCACAGAGTCTAGTATGGTTTAGAGCATGGAAATGGAAAGAATTTAGTAAGAATCATCTCTTTGGGCAAAACCATATTGTAAGTCCCTCTCCCCACTGCCACACCATCACCAAATCTATGCATGGGGTTGCTGTCTCCTACCCTCAAGCCTAGAGAAAAAGGATTCAGTAGGACCACTTGGAGAGCTTGACATTTGTTCCCTGACACTGGTGAATGCACAGGCCTAGCTCCTGGGGCTGCAGGAGGACACGCAAACCTGTCAGAGGTGAATCCCAGGGAAAGGATGTGGCACTCATATTATACTTAGAAACATCAGCTTGAGGACATATGAAAATGGATCTTGCCTGAGAGGTGTCCTGCTGCCCAAAGAGACCTCGGCAGTAAGAAGCAGTCAGTTTATGGCTGGAGCAGAAGCTGAGGAGTAATGGGGAGTACTCGTGTGGAAGAGACACGTTATCTAGGATTAGAGAGTGATATTGGGAGGGGCCCAGCAGCGGAGGATCTGATGGATCCATTAAAGGTAGAGTTTCCAGATAAAATGCAGGGTGCCTAGTTAAACTTACATGTTCAGATAAACAATGAATACATTTATTAGTGTAAGTATGTTCCACATAATATTTGAATTTCAGGTTAACAATATTCGAGATATATTAAAAATTATTTGTTGTCTGGAATTCAAATTTATTTGGGCACCTGGTATATTCTTCCTTTCATTTTTCCCCTGCTCCCTACATCTGGCAACACTACGCTAAAGGGCACATGAAAGAAAAAGCTAGCTTTAAATTACTGTCCATAAAGCAATAAACCCTCTGAAAATAGTGCCAGTAAGGAAAGCACATTCTAGGATGGGGTGTAGGATGGAGGCTCAGAATCTACTAGGACGGCCAAAGACAGCAGCAGATCGCACCTCCTTTCCAGATCTTCCATTTAAGTCATAGACCCTGACTGGATTTAGGGCAATTTATATGCTTGCTGGATCTAAGTTAATAGTTATGCAAAAGAAAAAAAGTTCGAAAAATTGTATAGGGTTCTCCAAAATGGAGGCAAGCTAATACAGTTAATCTGCAACGAAATTTCATACGATTTTGATTATCGTTTGAAGAGCACAAAATGTGTAAAGACATTTCATTCAAAAAATAGAATGAGTTACTAATTTCACAAAAGCACTAAAACTATTATCATAAATTCTTATTAAAGAATTTTTAAATAGAAAACGCGAATGTCATTACTTTAAAAGTGGTGATTGCACCATCTAGTGGTGAAGAAAGATAAAACATAAAAACAAAATTAGTGCCTTAAAGACCTCACCATGGTAAAATATTTTATTTATTTTTAAAATAAATTGTATTGTGTATATTGAAGGTAATGTTATGAGAATAAAATATGTGTTTTGATATTAAAATAGCATAAATCACATTAAGCATAATATATTAAATAATATAGATGCTATAAACTTATCTGAAAAATAACAACTTAAAGTAGAACCTTTTATAGTTCCTCTCAGAATCTTTAGGTCTAAACAATTATCTATGACAATTATCTATGTGTTTAAAGATTTAGAAAATAACTTTCAAATACTATATACTACTTTCTTTTTTTTTTGAGACAGAGTCTCACTTTGTTGCCCAGGCTAGAGTGAGTGCCGTGGCGTCAGCCTAACTCACAGCAACCTCAAACTCCTGGGCTCAACAATTCTACTGCCTCAGCCTCCCGAGTAGCTGAGACTACAGGCATGCGCCACCATGCCCGGCTAATTTTTTGTATATATATTTTTTTAGTTGGCCAATTAATTTCTTTCTATTTTTGGTAGAGACGGGGTCTCACTCAGGCTGGTTTTGAACTCCTGACCTTGAGCAATCCGCCCGTCTTGGCCTCCCAAAGTGCTAGGATTATAGGCGTGAGCCACCGCGCCCGGCCTCAAATACTATATACTACTTTCTTACACTATATTTTAAGAGAGATTTTCATTAGAATGGTTTAGTGCAAGGTCAGATTTTCTTTTTGTTCCCTGGCTTCTTTAGGACCCTGTGAAATGTAGATAATAAAACTTTTCAAATTTGCATTTGTTATTCCCCACTTTGGGTGATATTTTTCTAACCCTTAAAGTTAATTCATTAACATTTCTTCCTTTAACCACATATATACTACTCTGCCCTGAGGAACAGTACGTTTTGGAGAAGAATGTATGTGAGGGAGCTGTCCATAGAGTGGGAAAAATGAAAACAAAACAAAGAGAGGTAGGTATTCATTTAGTTAAAGAATATTTATTGTTTATTATTTTTACATGCTAGGTATCTGCTCCTGGCTCAGCACTGAGAATCCACAACACATGAGGCTCTATTCTTGACCTCATGGATTTGCTGTTTTGAAGGAATCAGATCATGGACTTGATATTTTGAAGGAATCAGATTGGTAATCAGACAATTTTAACACAATGGGACAAGTGCTAAAATGGATACTAGGGGAGCCTGTAAGAAGGTCACTGAAGAAGTTTTAATGAATTCTGGGAAGGCTTCCAAGGGGAGATTTGCCTCCACAAGCACATGCATAAGCAGTCGGGGCAGGAGAAGGCTGGAAAAGGAAACGAGTGCCCACAGACTTTGAACAGATGAGCGAGAAATGACATGACTGATGAGGCACATGATTGCCATGAAGATGGCTGCATGGTGTGACAATAAGCTCTCTGGTGATGTAATTTTAACCTTAGTGGGGTCTTACTATATTTCTGCTACTAGAAAAGGGGCTGGCAACCTTTTTTTACTGAGAAATCATTAACATTATACAGAAAAACTGTTTTCTTATTTCAAGACTATTCCAAAAATGTTATATATTTTGAATTTCCAATACATAAACAACAATTCATGGGCTCTCCTGCCTCTAAACATGTAGAGATGGTAACACAGAAGACAATATTAGACAATTTAGAAATCCAAGTGACAGCTGGTCATGATGGTAATCAAAAGTTGAATATTGGAATGTGTTTTTACTGATATCATTATTTTACTTCTGTGCTTTTAGAATGAAAGTGATTTAAATTTCTAAATTGCAGATAAATTGTTTAGTTCCTACTGTCAATTTTATAGCTCAGAGACATGAATGGGGTAATTTGTTCTCATTACTATAGAAATTCAACATGAAAAATTTAATTTTCTTGTGATTAGGCAATTCTAAGACTGTGAGAGTTTAGGATGAACGTAAGCATATAAAAATTAACCAAAAATGAGATAATAGAAGTTTTAATATTCTTTTTTTTTTAATTCACTTAAACATCATTTACTCACTACATATTCGCCAAAGAGGATGTATGGAGCACCACTGCACTTTATTGCCAGTGTGAATACAAAACAGAAAACATAGTGCCTATCACCCTCCCCAGGCCTTGAAACTTTATTCAGAGCAAAGTTTTTATATGAAGCATATGTATAAAATATAATTCAAAGTTTATTGGGGCTTTACGTTAGTGCCAGGCTCTGTTTTAAGCACTTTATAGGTAGTAACTCATTTAATTCCCACATTAACCCTATAAGACAAATACAATTAGCCCTCAGTTTGCAGATGAGAAGCTAAGACTTAGAATAACATAACCTCTGCTTAACCTACTCTTTCTGATTATCTATCAAATATGGATTCCGATTGCTTTGGATAAAAGAGATTGTTGCATACATGTTGAGGCTGCGAGGATAACAGTACGTTCTTGGAGAGAATTTGCCTTGAGCTGGAACTGTAAAAAAGTTATGGTTACAGATCTGTGGGTTCTCTATGCATAAGAAAAAGCACAGACACTGTACTTAAAATGAAATCTATGTGGTGTGACGATAAGGTCATATGAATAATAGAATAAATGTATGGAATTTAGCAATAGATGATCACATGGCCTAAAGGACTCTACTTCTGTATATACAGCTTATTTCTGTGCTATTTAAAGGAAAAGGGAAATATAGCTGAGTCACCTTCTCACTAGGCCATTGGTTTTGTTGGATGGCTTCATTCGTATCAAATTGCTTTCCTTTATGGTTTATTTCTGTTTGAGTAACAAGTTGGAAGAATAAGGTAAGTATGGTATGATGGATATCATTTTACCTGACAAAATTTTCTGGATGTTAAATGACATGCTCAAAATTTGAGCCTTTGAAGAATATACAATCAAGTGCTAAAACAAATGAACCTCATCATATGCTAAATTGTGATGACTTGTCAAAACTCAACACGCTTACCAGGAAGGGTTGCTATAATCACTTTACCTGCAAAATTCCCTCATGGTCTTTCTTTCTTTGCTGGTGAGACACTCACTAAAGTCTTTGAGGATATAGAGTGTAAGAAGGATGAGATAAAATTACTCTTTACATACTAATGAAAATACTGGCAGTTGTCTCTAGGCCTCATTCCTCATAGTTCTGTTCTTCAGGTGTGAGGGCCTCCGCATTTCTTTCCATCCATGCTATTTTTTTGTGTGTTATTTGTCCAGCAGAATTTCCCATATAAAGCATTTGGCTGTTTATATCCTTATAATGTCATTTATTTTGCTTTACTTTCCATAAACTTATAGATAGAGAGGCTTAATTAGATTCAGGTTCAGGTTTTCAATGTTTTATAGATGGTGTTGTAGAGTCCCAGCTGCATCACATCAGGAGTCATGCAATGTTGGGTTATTCTACACTTAGTTATGTTATGATCTAACAGTTGGTTAAGGTGGTGTTAGATTGACCCAACCATATATAGTTTTATATCACTCTTTCACTTAATAGTTCAAGCAGCCATTAT